TGTATGTACTTCGCTTCGCAAGCCTGCGCTCGGCCGTCGCGCTAGGGTTGTCTTGTCATGTGTTGCACAAATAAAATAATTTCACAAACGCGTGAGCAGCGTCACTCAAGCGAACGCAGTCGCGCCTCGCCTTCGTCCAAGACAGTCTTGATAACGCGTACGTGAGCGGTGTCTATGTGTGCGTGGTTCGAGCGCGCTTAGTATGGAGTTTACCTTCTGTTATATTTTGTGGTTAATATTCTTACTTATAAGTTGGTACTTCGCTTCAGACGTGACCCGTAGAGTCGTTTGTTGCACGCCTTTCCACTCGCACCACTGGAGTTCTTTCTCTTCGCCCTTGTTGCGCTCTCGCTCCCACATCTATTGACAAACAAAGACAATTTGAACCTTGTGTGTTGAATCAATAAAACCGAAGTAACTAACATAGTCCGCAAAATTGCTAAACTTAAAAGCCTTGATCACACCAACCGAGTGGACGGGCGAGACAATAAATTGATATTTGGAAAGAGAGAGTTGGATGAGTCGTCGAGTAGCTGTCTCGCCAAAAAACTAGTCCGAGCGCACTCGGCGTAATGTTCATACACACCGCGTACTCGCCCACGCCTAGCACGAAGCCTAGATGGCTACTGTCTATCTGTCACCGTCGCTCATGCTGCTGTCTCGCTTTGCGTGACAGGGATGGCAACATTAGAAACTTCGGATAAGGTTTTTTTGGAGTCGCTCATGCTGACATCTGTCTTTGCGTGAGAGGGATGGCAACATTAGAAACTCCGGATGACATTTTTGGAGTAACCTCGCTAGCACCATCATCTCGCCTAGTTCCAGTAGGCGTTGCATATGGTTACGTGGCATTCTATGGTTATGGTCATGGTCAAGGTTATGGTCAAGGTTATGGCCATGGTCATGATCATGGTTATGGTCATGGTCATGATTATGGTCATGGTCACAAGCAGCACCCACCTGGAAGGCGTTGAGCATGGCCACGTGGTCGGAGGCGCGCTCGCCGGCCAGCGCGCGCTGGTGCGCGGACAGGCGGCGGCGGCCCTCCAGCGCGAACACCTCGGGGAACGTCGTCGAGTTGCCGCCATCGTACTAGCACGAGGCCTAGAGGGCTGCTGTCTGTCTGTCGCCGTCGCTCATGATGGCGTCTCGCTTTGCGGGAGAGGGATGGCAACATTCGAAGCTTTGGATAGAGATTTTTTGACTAATCATGCTAGAGCACGACCTAACCACGACGCCTAGAAGGCTACTGCGAAATGCTGCTTCTGGTCTATCTGACAACGTCGCTCATGCTATCTTGCTTTGCGTGAGAGGGATGGCAACATTCGAAACTTCGGATAAGGTTTTTTCGGAGTCGCTTATGCTGACATCTGTCTTTGCGTGAGAGGGATGGCAACATTAGAAACTCCGGATGACATTTTTGGAGTAACCCTGCTAGCACCATCATCTTGCCTAGCCGTCTCCAGTTCCAGTAGGCGTTGCATATGGTTACGTGGCATTCTATGGTCATGGTTATGGATGGTTATGATCATGGTTATGGTCAAGGTTATGGTCATGATCATGGTCAAGGTTATGGTCACGGTCATGGTCATGGCCAAGGTCATGGTCATGGTCACAACCAGCACCCACCTGGAAGGCGTTGAGCATGGCCACGTGGTCGGAGGCGCGCTCGCCGGCCAGCGCGCGCTGGTGCGCGGACAGGCGGCGGCGGCCCTCCAGCGCGAACACCTCGGGGAACGTCGTCGAGTTGCCGCCATCGTACTAGCACGAGGCCTAGAGGGCTGCTGTCTGTCTGTCGCCGTCGCTCATGCTGGCGTCTCGCTTTGCGGGAGAGGGATGGCAACATTCGAAGCTTTGGATAGAGATTTTTTGACTAATCATGCTAGAGCACGACCTAACCACGACGCCTAGAAGGCTACTGCGAAATGCTGCTTCTGGTCTATCTGACAACGTCGCTCATGCTATCTTGCTTTGCGTGAGAGGGATGGCAACATTCGAAACTTCGGATAAGGTTTTTTCGGAGTCGCTTATGCTGACATCTGTCTTTGCGTGAGAGGGATGGCAACATTAGAAACTCCGGATGACATTTTTGGAGTAACCCTGCTAGCACCATCATCTTGCCTAGCCGTCTCCAGTTCCAGTAGGCGTTGCATATGGTTACGTGGCATTCTATGGTCATGGTTATGGATGGTTATGATCATGGTTATGGTCAAGGTTATGGTCATGATCATGGTCAAGGTTATGGTCACGGTCATGGTCATGGCCAAGGTCATGGTCATGGTCACAACCAGCACCCACCTGGAAGGCGTTGAGCATGGCCACGTGGTCGGAGGCGCGCTCGCCGGCCAGCGCGCGCTGGTGCGCGGACAGGCGGCGGCGGCCCTCCAGCGCGAACACCTCGGGGAACGTCGTCGAGTTGCCGCCATCGTACTAGCACGAGGCCTAGAGGGCTGCTGTCTGTCTGTCGCCGTCGCTCATACTGGTGTCTCGCTTTGCGTGAGAGGGACGGCAACATTCGAAGCTTTGGAAAAAGATTTTTGGACTAAACCTAGAGCACGAAGCCTAGAAGGCTACTGCGAAACCCTTAAACACTCTATCTGATCTATCTGTCACCGTCGCTCATGCCAGTATCTTGCTTTGCGTGAAAGGGATGGCAACATTAGAAACTTCGGATAAGGTATTTTCGAAGTAGCTCGTGCTGACTTCTGACTTTGCGTGAGAGGAATAGCAACATTTGAGAAACTTCAGATAACGATTTTTGGAGTAATCTCGCTAGCACCATCATCTTGCTTAGCTTAAGCTTGCCCTACTAACACACAGGCTGCAGCTAAGAAGAGCCGGAAGAAACTGTCACCTTTGTCGCGTTGTACAGTTATCCGTCTAGCATGAATCCGAGTACCGCCATCTTGCCGAATGATCTCAAAAATCACTTGCCCTGCTGCCACTTTGGACACATCAGTTGCTGCTGAAGAAGAACTGAAAGTAACTGTCACCTTAGTCAGCCACGCGTTGTAGTTATCCAGTAGGCGTTGTATATGGTCACGCGGCATTCTATGGTTATGGTCATGGTAATGGTCAAGATTATGGTTATGGTCATGATCAAGGTTATGGTCATGATCATGACTATGGTCATGGTCACAAGCAGCACCCACCTGGAAGGCGTTGAGCATGGCCACGTGGTCGGAGGCGCGCTCGCCGGCCAGCGCGCGCTGGTGCGCGGACAGGCGGCGGCGGCCCTCCAGCGCGAACACCTCGGGGAACGTCGTCGAGTTGCCGCCATCGTACTAGCACGAGGCCTAGAGGGCTGCTGTCTGTCTGTCGCCGTCGCTCAAGCTGGCGTCTCGCTTTGCGTGAGAGGGATGGCAACATTCGAAGCTTTGGATAACGATTTTTGGACTAAGCCTAGAACACGAAGCCTAGAAGGCTACTACGAAACGCTGTTTCTGATCTGTCACTGTCATTTATGCTGGAGTCTCGCTTTGCGGGAGAGGGATGGCAACATTCGAAGCTTTAACGATTTTTGGACTAAACCTAGAGCACGAAGCCTAGAGGGCTACTACGAAACGCTGTATCTAGTCTGTTACCGTCGCATATGATGGTATCTAACTTTGCGAGAGAAGGATATTAACATTCAAAACTCCGGATAAGGTTTTTTCGGAGTCGCTCATGTTGACATCTGGCTTTGTGTGAGAGGGATGGCAACATTCAAGAAACTTCGAATGCCGATTTTTGGAGTAACCCCGCTAGCACTATCATCTTGCCTAGCCGTCTCCAGTTCCAGTAGGCGTTGCATAATATGGTCATGTGGCATTCTATGGTCATGGTTATGGATGGTTATGATCATGGTTATGGTCGAGGTTATGGTCAAGGTTATGCTCATGGTCAATGTTATGGTCATGGTCAAGGTTATGGTCAATGTTATGGTCATGATAATGGTTATGGTCAATTGCAAAAACACACAACCGGCACCCACCTGGAAGGCGTTGAGCATGGCCACGTGGTCGGAGGCGCGCTCGCCGGCCAGCGCGCGCTGGTGCGCGGACAGGCGGCGGCGGCCCTCCAGCGCGAACACCTCGGGGAACGTCGTCGAGTTGCCGCCATCGTACTAGCACGAGGCCTAGAGGGCTGCTGTCTGTCTGTCGCCGTCGCTCATGCTGGCGTCTCGCTTTGCGGGAGAGGGATGGCAACATTCGAAGCTTTGGATAGAGATTTTTGGACTAATCATGCTAGAGCACGACCTAACCACGACGCCTAGAAGGCTACTGCGAAATGCTGCTTCTGGTCTATCTGACAACGTCGCCTATGCTAGTATCTTGCTTTGCGAGAGAGGGATGGCAACATTAGAAACTCCGGATAAGGTTTTTTCGGAGTCGCTCATGTTGACATCTGGCTTTGTGTGAGAGGGATGGCAACATTCAAGAAACTTCGAATGACGATTTTTGGAGTAACCTCGCTAGCACCATCACATCATCTTGCCTAGCCGCCTCAAGTTCCAGTAGGCGTTGCATATGGTCATGTGGCATTCTATGGTCATGGTTATGGATGGTTATGATCATGGTTATGGTCAAGGTTATGGTCATGATCATGGTCATGGACAATGTTATGGTCATGGTTAAGGTTATGGTCATGATCATGGTCAAGGTTATGGTCAATGTTATGGTCATGATAATGGTTATGGTCAATTGCAAAAACACACAAGCAGCACCCACCTGGAAGGCGTTGAGCATGGCCACGTGGTCGGAGGCGCGCTCGCCGGCCAGCGCGCGCTGGTGCGCGGACAGGCGGCGGCGGCCCTCCAGCGCGAACACCTCGGGGAACGTCGTCGAGTTGGCCGCCATTGTGGTCAGAGCGTCGCCCACGCCCAGTACGAAGCCGAGGACCATCATCTTGCCTAGGCGAGGCTCTGGAAGGTTTAAAATATTAAATTAATATGGTTTCTTCGTTGACACTTTTTTTTTGTTAATCGTGGCTTTGGAAGAGCCTGGTTGTGGCTTTTGAGGCCAGTTGCGGCTTCAGAAGACGTCTATGTTTTTAGGGAAAGCCTAAGAAAGAGTGGCTGAGGCCAGTTTGGCCTTTGAAGGAGGCCGTTAGTCCCGGTTTCCACCAAGGCCTACCCTAGCGGCGTCCAGACATGTTGATTACTCGCATCCAGGCATCCCAGATCCCTCAACATAGCCTCTTGCTCTATGCTATGACGGCGTCAAGCGCACGCACTATATTTCCTATCGCATTCCTATAGCAATAAGGTTGACTATCACTCACCAATAGGCAGCTTTGCGAGTATAGTCCCTAGCGGCGTCAAGGCATCCTGGTTGGCCACATCCAGACACCCTAGTTTTCTCTCAACATGGCTTCTGCCTCTATGACGGCGTCAAGCGCATGTGGCAGTGCATTTCCTGTCGTATTCCTATAGCAATAAGATCGACTATCACTCACCAATAGGCAGCTTTGCGAGTGTAGTCCCTAGCGGCGTCAAGGCATCCTGGTTGGCCACATCCAGACATACCAGTTCTATCAACAAGACTTCTGCCTCTATGACGGCGTCAAGCGCATATAACAGAGCAATTCCTGTCGTATTCCTATAGTAATAAAGTCGACTATCACTCACCAATAGGCAGCTTTGCGAGTATAGTCCCTTGCGGCGTCAAGGCATCCTGGTTGGCCACATCCAGACACCCTAATTCTCTTAACATGACTTCTGCCTCTATGACGGCGTCAAGCGCATGTGGTAGTGCATTTCCTGTCGTATTCCTATAGCAATAAGGTCGACAATCACTCACCAATAGGCAGCTTCGCGAGTATAGTCCCTAGCGGCGTCAAGGCATCCTGGTTGGCCGCATCCAGACATCCCAGTTCCCTCAACATGGCTTCTGCCTCTATGACGGCGTCAAGCGCACGCACTGTATTTCCTATCGCATTCCTATAGCAATAAGGTCGACAATCACTCACCGATGGGTAGCTTCGCTAGTATGGTCCCTAGCGGCGTCAAGGCATCCTGGTTTGCCACATCCAAACATCCCAGTTCTCTCAACATGGCTTCTGCCTCTATGACGGCGTCAAGCGGCGGTGGTTCTGGTGCCTTGGACAAGAAGTGGCCTATACTGCCCAGGCGAAGGAGCTTGATGCTGCAAAGATGATTCATGGTCAGTTAGACAGTCCACCAAAGCCCTATAGAGGGCATACCATCGTCATAGTCTCCACTGCAGAAGCAAGACATTTTCTAATTTACCAGAGGCAAATGGAAGATTTGGCTTACACTCCCCACGTCTCGTTTGAATTTCTTTAATTACACATGTAGATCTCACAAGCAAGTTCATACATTTATATTGCTTTAAGAATTAACAGGACCACCCCCACTCTTCCAGTGGATATCAGGCTTCCTCAACCTGTCTTGCCAAACGTGGGGAAGCGTAGACAAAATACTACATTAGGCTAGTTTCCTAAAAAAAAATATTTTAGTTTTAGTCCGTCAATTTTGATATAAAAAAATAATATTTTGAATTGTCAATCAAACAAATAATTACAAAGTTATAGTGCGTTGAAGTTTCGCGCGACGTCACAAAGTGCTGCAGTTTTACGCACTCACTGACGTCACGGGCCTTTTCTTTAGAACTTTGCCACGCTTTATCTCTTTACATTTTCATTAGTTTTAAAAAGTGAAAAATACGTGTCGAGTAGTTTTTGATAAGCTAACTGACGGACTAATTAAAACTCTTGCTTTTTTACCCAGGAAACATCCCTTTTGTCTCTGGTAATTTAGAGGGTTGTCTTTCTGCAGTGGTGACTTAATTAATTACCATTGGGCCTAGTATGTGCGCCACGATAAATTTTTTTTCGTTTTTGCCTGACACATTTGTCGTCTAAAATCAACGATAAAATTATATTGTAGCGTGCATCCTAGGTCAACTGATGTTGAAGGAATAATAACAAATAAGTACCTGAGAGCCAGCTCATGTAGTGGAGTGCGGAACATCTCAGCCGTTTGGTGTTCTTCTAACTTGTCGAAGCGCGCTCTGGTGCAAAGCGTGAAACAAACGCCAGGCCTCACACGGCCTGCCCTGCCTTTGCGCTATGATAAACACAAAATATTATTATTGAATATGCTTTTGGCAAAATCAAAATCAAAATCAAAATTATCTTTATTTGTTTAGACTAATTAAATTAGTTCTTGCAAATCGTCAAATGCTCTTAAGGAGCCTATACATGTCTCATTCTTTTTTTGCCCTACCAGGCATTTCATATTTGGTCATCGTTTCAGCTAAATGACGTCCACAGCTGGACAAAGGCCTCCCCCAAGGATTTTCACAATGACCGGTCCTGCGCTGCCCGAATCCAGGTTCTTTCTGCGACCTTAGATCGTCGGTCCACCTAGTGGAGGGCTTGCTCACTACGTCTCCCGGCTCGTGGTCGCCACTCGTAAACTTCTGCCCCAACGGCCATCAGTGTGCTTACCATGAGTTTAAGTTAGGTGTGCTCATTAGCGAGTGCGTCAAAAAATCTATGAAGATTTTAGTTCTTGAAAGTAACCGCTAGGGGCGCCTTACAATCTGTCATGCATTTTATGTAATTATGCTAGCGAGCACACCCAATGTAAACTCATGGTAAGCACACAGCTCTACGAGCTATATGCCCCGCCCACTGACACTTAATTTTAGCAATTGTGCAGGCTATTTCCACCACTGGTTTTCATAAAACGTCAATCATAAATATTAACCTGCTCCTAATTAGTTCAACTGGCCCACACAGTGGCGTATGACGTCATATTATTGTGTGACGTCAACAACTTCATCCGCCTTGCACGAGGTTATTACGTAGAGACTGTGTACTTTATACCTTTAATTTAAGGCTGAAAATATATTTTTTACGCACGAATAGCCTAGAAATACTAACCTGCTCCAAATTAGTCCTGCTGGCCCAGACAGTGGCGTATGACGTCATGTTATTGTGTGACGTGAACAGCTTCATCTTGGCCTTGCACGAGTCTATGACGTAGACCACGTCGTTGATAGTGATTGACGTTTCTGCGATGTTGGTTGATAAGATCACCTGAAATTAAATAAGTATAATAAGCTTGGTGAACAATTTTTGTTAAGCTGTGTAATTTAGCTTGTCTCAGAGTCGAGCATAGTTTCGTTTACATACGTCAGTGATCGGTTCTGTGCCGATGCGGTAGGGCTGACTGCTACAAGAAGCTACTGCGTCGTCATCTAGCGCACAACATGCGTATTTTTTCTTCATTCCATAGCGATTATCCTTTTTACAACGGGTGAAGAAGAAGAAGTAACTTACTACAAATCCTACTTACTAAAGCTCGGTCTGTGAACACGTAGAATTTTGTCCAATGACCCCAAGCTACCCATCCTTATCGCTCGCGCGTAATTATATTGCTGTCGCGACTGTGCGACGCGCGCCCGCAGTGAGTGTGCGAGCGCGACAGCAATATAATTACGCGCGAGCGATAAGGATGGGTAGCTTGGGGTCATTGGACAAAATTCTACGTGCTCGCAGACCAGACTATAACAACTACTACGTACTAAAATAGAAAGACACGGGTCTTAACGCGACGTTTATGAATGACGTCAAGCCGTGAGTACATAATGTAACTCATTCATAAACGTCGCGTTAAGACCTGTGTCTTTCTATTTTAGTTGAAATGGAACGCGATAGTTTAAAATCTTAAACTACTACGTACCTTGGTGATTCCTGGTGGCGGCGTAACAAACACCTTCTTCTGGTCTTCCCTCGGTATCTGGCTGTGTAACGGCAGTATCACAAACTGGGACTGGTCCCCGAACATCCGGTGCTGGGTCAGATGCTTCATCAGCGCGAAGATGAGATTCCAACCGGGGAGGAACACTAATACGGCGCCTTCCTTGTTCAGATTGGCGATGTAGGTCAGTATGGCTTCTATGAGTTCGAAACTCATCTGTAATAAAATATGGAGAATTTAATCGTAAGCTTTGGAACTTGAAGGGTTAGTTTCACCAGTTTTTTTAAGATAAATCACATACATAGATAAAGAATAGTACAACTCAAAATACTTCAACAAGTTTTTGACGCAGTTTAGGATAGTAGCAATAACTCGATTTGGATTATTTTGAGTTATGCTATTTGTAACAATAAAAGTTGTGGTTTATCTGACAGATAAGTTACTCACAAACTATCAGGGACTTTATAAGTAAGTGATGAAACAGTCAGGGGTAAAATTATTGATGTCGAATTGAATCTAAGGCTCAGTTGCACCACCTAACTTTGACCGTAACTATAACAATAACCGGTGCTTTTTGTAAGGAGTTTGACAGATTTTTGTACTTTGTCAAAGTTAAAGTAAGATGGTGCAACCCAGCCGACTTGTAAACACTATTTATAATAATTAAAGCTCATAAATGGTTTTCGGCTTATCTCAACTCACATCTTTTTCCGAGAGTTGCTGGAGAGACCTTGCCGTTTCCGGCGAATAGTCGTTGCTCAATTGGCAGTTCTTGTTCATGTCTTCATCTTGCTCGTCCCCGCCGAGACCTATTTGAAATACAAATAAAGATTATCAAAATGGCCGCCAAATTAAAATAAATTCCAAGCACGTGCATTATTGGAGGATTTACAGATTTGCGTTTCACATCGATGCGCAGGTACGCTTTGGACAATTTTCTAAAATTTGTGTTTGGACGACTATTATTTAATGTGTAATAATGGTATATTATTGTAACACCTATATTACTATTATGGATGCAATAAACTTATTGAGCATTATTAACCATTAAGTGTTCGTGAAAGTGCATGAGTGTAGGCAAATGAAACAAAACAGTGCAGCGTGATTTTTCGGATTCTCATAAATAGTCCATAATATGAAGTCTCAGTAAAGCACCACAACTTTGCTGAGATTGCTCGGATCAAACTCCCCGCACCCCGGGCTTCCTTTGACCAAAAATTGGTGGAGCGCGTCTTTGTGGAATAACGATCTTTACCCTAATGTAGATCCAAAACTCTATGATGAACCCTTAGAAAGAGTTTATAAATTTAAATATCTTGGACATATCGTGACTGACAGCCTTAAAGACGATGAAGATATTGATAGGGAACGTAGGGCGCTGTCGGTCAGGGCGAATATGTTGGCACATAGATTTGGTCGCTGCACAGATACTGTTAAAATAACGCTTTTTAAAGCATATTGTGTGTCATTTTATTCGTGCAGCTTGTGGACCAACTATACCAAAAAGGCCTATAGTGCTCTGCGTGTCCAATACAATAACGCCTTCAGGGCGCTGTTGCGGCTGCCGCGGTTTTGTAGTGCGTCTGCGATGTTTGCGTTGGCGGGCGTAGATAGCTTTGAAGCTATAATGCGCAAAAAGTGCGCATCATTACTGCACAGAGTGCGCGGCAGCTGCCACAGCGTACTGAAGGAGATAGCCGATAGTGGGGATTGTCCACTGATCGGCCACATGCTCAGCAGGACGAAGTCTGTTTTAGAAATAAGATACTAACATAGCCTAAGTTTTTACTAACATTATGGATCCCTGTTATCCGAAATAAATACTTTTTATTTTTATTTTATTTATTTATTTTTATTTACCTTCATCATCATCTTCCTCGTCGTCCTTATTGGCCCTCTTGCCCGAGGACTTGCGTTTCCTCGAGTCGATCGGAGGCATGAACTTGGTCAGCTCTATGTAGTCCTTAACTTTGAACTCCTATGTTCTTCTGATTAATTTCGTTGCGGGTCCAATGACAGTTTAACACCCATGACAAAATTTAGTTCACCTTTAGTGGTTGGGTTTTTATTGGCGGTCAAGCTGTAGATCCTGGCTTGACAGGAGTTGCAGATATGGGAACGAGAGGTGGGAATAGTCCCGTTTAAGAAGTACTGGCGGACTGGGAACCTATCTGATCACTGTTCATCACCCATCACAAAGTACGTACCTTCATCATCATCTTCCTCGTCGTCCTTATTCGCCCTCTTGCCCGAGGACTTGCGTTTCCTCGAGTCGAGCGGAGGCACGAACTTGGTCAGCTCTATGCAGTCTTCTAAGAAATATTGGCGGACTGGGTACGTGCGGCCGGGGACCTGTGTTGGTAAAAAAAGAAAATTAGGATGATAAGTCTTGTTTCTTTACTTTACTTTACAGGTATCTTTGCCAACCCATCTGGTCAGCGTCGGGAGGGTAGACCAAATGCTACATTTGCCTCTCCTGTCATCTTCATTTCAGCTGTAGGACGTCCACTGCTGAACATAGGCCTCCCCCAATGCTTTCCATGTTGCCCGGTTGGTAGCAGCCTGCGTCCAGCGCCTTTCTGCTACCTTTACGATATCGTAGCCTCTTCTGTAGTGGAGACTAAATAAATTTCCTGATAATAAGGTATTTTTAACCTCAGCCCCAATAGAACAATAAGGTGTAATTTTGTCTATGTATCAGTATGCGACACAAGGGCTTCCAAATCGACGAACAGATGTTCTTCTAGTTTTCTATTTGGAAGTCGATTAGATCGAGTGTTCTTATCTGTTTCACGAATATACGATTAGCTGACTTAATTTTTTAAATAAATACATAAATTATAGGTTTTTAACTGCCGACGCGACACTTCGATAGAAGGCCAAGTTGCAAAGTAATGTAGAAACATACGCGTATCATATAATCGTGCAGACAAGTACACTTACCTCAATAACAGGACAGTTGCCAAAGTAAGAGGTGAACAGCGTAGTGTCGACTGTGGCCGACATGAGAATGATCCGGATATCCGGATACGTGTGCGCCATATCTCAACTGGATCGAAATCCGGGTCAAAGTCTCGCTCATGCAATAGTTACACAAACTTACCTCAATAACAGGACAGTTGCCAAAGTACGAAGTGAACAGCGTAGTATCTCGACTGTGGCCGACATGAGAATGATCCGGAGATCCGGATACGTGTGCGTCATGTCTCAACATAATCAACGCGAAATCCGGGTCAGTCTCGCTCATGCAATAGTTACACAAACTTACCTCAATAACAGGACAGTTGCCAAAGTAAGAGGTGAACACCGTAGTGTCGACTGTGGCGGACATGAGAATGAGCCGGAGATCCGGGTAAGTGTGCGCCATATCTCAGCTGGATCGACGCGAAATCCGGGTCAGTCTCGCTCGTGCAATAGTTACACAAACTTACCTCAATAACAGGACAGTTGCCAAAGTAAGAGGTGAAGAGTGTAGTGTCGACTGTAGCTGACATGAGAATGATCCGGAGATCCGGGTACGTGTGCGCCATATCTCAGCTGGATCGAAATCCGGGTCAGTCTCGCTCATGCAATAGTTACACAAACTTACCTCAATAACAGGACAGTTGCCAAAGTACGAAGTGAACAGCGTAGTGTCGACTGTGGCCGACATGAGGATGATCCGGGATTCCGCAGACCCGGGTACGTGTGTGCCATGTCTGAGCAGGATAAACGCGAAATCCGGGTCGGCGTCTCGCTACTGGACTTGTTATGAATAAGTACACTTACCTCAATAAACTCACTAGGTGGACCGACGATCTGTTGAAGGTCGCGGGAGGAGCCTGGATGCGAGCGGCGCAGGACCGGTCTTTGTGGAAATCCTTGGGGGAGGTCTTTGTCCAGCAGTGGACGTCTTTCGGCTGAAACGAACACTTACCTCAATAACAGGACAGTTGCCAAAGTACGAAGTGAACAGCGTAGTGTCGACTGTGGCCGACATGAGAATGAACCGGAGATCCGGGTACGTGTGCGCCATATCTCAACTGGATCGACGCGAAACCCGGGTCAGTCTCGCTCATGCAATAATTACACAAACTTACCTCAATAACAGGACAGTTGCCGAAGTACGAAGTGAAGAGCGTAGTGTCGACTGTGGCCGACATGAGAATGATCCGGAGATCCGGGTACGTGTGCGCCATGTCTCAACATAATCAACGCGAAATCCGGGTCAGTCTCGCTCGTGCAATAGTTACACAAACTTACCTCAATAACAGGACAGTTGCCAAAGTACGAAGTGAACAGCGTAGTGTCGACCGTGGCGGACATAAGAATGATCCGGAGATCCGGGTACGTGTGTGCCATGTCTCTGAGTAGGATCAACGCGAAATCTGTATCGGCATCTCGCTCGTGGACCTGTTATGAAAATAATAAGACACGTAAGTGAAATGTCTACAGCATGGAAAGTGTGTTTTAATCTGCTAAGTTTTAATGTGCCTAAAAATAAAAAAAACTAGTAAACTGTCATAAGAATACTGCCCCCAATAGTTGAAAGGGCGCAACTAATACTGTTAGCTATTCTTGAGTTTTACTCATATCCGAAAAAAAGTGTTAGATGCGCTTTTTCAACCATCGGGGGCAGAATACAGCTCTTATGGGTAAGATATTAATACATTAAATTTTATTGTTCCTTCAGGTAGGTGTAGGTGAGTAGAGCTTGAAACCTTGAAGAGATTTTGCCGTCGAAATGAAAAGGAAAACAATGATATGAGTACCAAATAGAATTGCTTAATTACTTAACAAAAATAATAAAAAGCTAAATAAAACCTTTCATCATTGAAAAACCTTGCTTCCTGCTTCACAGCAGTGGCGGTATTTTGATCCTTAACCACTTAAACTTACTTCATCGACAAGAACGTGACTGACGCCTCTCAAGCCACCTTCCAGTTTTCTCAGCAGAACACCCACAGTGCAGAACAATATTGATCCGTACGGCCTTGGCAATACGGACTCGAATCGCACCGAGTATCTGAGGACAAAATATTTGTAACAATCAAATAAAATACAGGATGAAGTTCTCAGATTACCAATGCACTCGTAGTACGTACTATATGCGCTCATTGCCATAATCAGCTTACTAATCTGAAAAGTAGGATTATTTTATTGAACTTGAACGTAAACGAACTAAAGTCGCTGACATAGCCCGACGGATGCAAGCTGAAGTGGCAATGGGCAGGGCACATAGCACGCTGAACGGATGGCGGATGAGGCAGCAAGGTTTTGGAATGGAGTTCATGTACTGGACGTCCACCAACAATGAGGACAGATTACCTCAAGGGTAGCATGAGAGCGCTGGTTACAATAAGCCGCTACCGTTCATCAGTGGGCATCCTGTAGCTGAAATGATGATGATGATGAAGCTCACCCCACACTATTACCCAGCTCCTCACAGCACCTGGAAACCACTGCGGAAGCTCATCTTTAACAGTGGATGTCCTGTGGCTAAAATGATGATGATGAAGCTTACCCAACACTTTTGCCTTGCTCCTCGCAGCATCTGGAAGCGTCATGTGGCTGAAATGATGCCGATGACTCACTTACCCCACACTGTTGCCCAGTTCGTTGGCCATTCGCTCGGCGACGCTTCTGTCCAGCAGTGGACATCCTGTGGCTGAAATGATGATGATGATGAAGCTCACCCCACACTATTTCCCAGTTCATTACGTCTTCCGACTCGTAGTCACCATTTGAGAACTTTTCTGCTTCAACTTCCATCAGTTCTACGAGCTAAGCCCCGCCCACTGCCACTTAAGTTTGGCAATTCTGCGGGCTGTGGAAGTTACTTCGGTTTTCCTGCGGATCTCACAACTAATCTAGACTCACCCCACACTATTCCCTAGCTCCTCGCAGCGCTCGTTGGCGACCCGCTCGGCGACGCTGACGGCGGATATTCGCCGCGGCTGCGTCACGAAGATGTTCGCCCACGCGCCTTGTCCGCTCGCTATGTAGTCGTCCAGTATGAATAGAGACTAGTCTACTATCCGTTCGCTTTAAGTTAGTTTGCCGCTGGCCATATGACGTCACTCGAAGGGAAGAGACACATTAATTGCGTTTAATCACTAACTAATTGCGTGTAATCGCGGTTGGGGGAGGGGACGCGCATTCCACGGACCGGCAAACTTAGCGCGAACGGGTAGTACAACGAAAGTAAACGAACTAAAGTCGCTGACCCGACGGATTCGCCTGCTAATGTGGCTATGTACAACTGATAGGGCAGCAAAGTTCTGGAATGCAAGTTATTTACGTGCTGGATGCAAGCTGCTACCAACTCATCATCATTGAGGGAAGCCTATGTTCATCAGTGGACGTCCTGTGGCTGAAATGATGATGATGACTCACTCACTCCACACTATTCCCTAGCTCCTCGCAGCGTTCGCTAGGCGACTCCTATATTCGGCAGTGAGCGTCCTATGACTGCAATGATGATGATGACTCACTTACCCCACACTGTTACCTATTCGCTCGGCGACACATATGTTCAGGAGTGCACGTCCTGTGTCTGGAATGGTGATGATGATGATGATGATGATGACTCACCCCACACTATTCCCTAGCTCCTCGCAGCGCTCGTTGGCGACCCGCTCGGCGACGCTGACGGCGGATATTCGCCGCGGCTGCGTCACGAAGATGTTCGCCCACGCGCCTTGTCCGCTCGCTATGTAGTCGTCCAGTATGAATTGGCACACCTGGACAGTTTACGATAAGCTTTGGGTATTCATTCTTTGAGATTACTTTGTTTAAGGATATACAGAGTGAGTCTTGATAAAGTGCAATATGAAAATAGGTGAAACTAGACCCATTTTTATCGAAGGAAAAAATGACAAGAAATATCTGAGACACACTGTATTTCATAAGTTAGAAGAGGTGTGATATCACCTAAGTGAATTGATTCGACATAAATGGACGTCTTATTTACTACTTGAACAATGCGGTTCTTTTTATTCATTTTGTGGACCTTTTTCACTCATATAAATAATCAAATCACCTGGGTTAGAGATGATAGGAAGACACCAAAAATGGCACTTTTTACAGGTGAAAATAGTGGAATAAACCACAAGGAGACGATGCTTCAAACCTTTATCCGGTGGTTGCAGAATTTTGTACTTTGGTAAGATAACATAAGGTTCAAAACTAATGAAAAATAAAGGGTTAACTAATATGACCAATATTTTCAGACTTGTCTTTTTACGGAACTTACCTGAGTAGTCTTGCCGCAGCCAGTGTTACCCCTGATGATGATGACCGGGTTCTCATTGATGGCGTCCATGATTTGAGACCGCATGCCAAATACAGGCAGGCTCTCTCTTTCACGTATACTATCCTATAACAACATCGTATGATTAGCTAAAGTATATCAGGTAAATTAGAACAATATAACATGTATTTAATTTGTAATTGATTATTGACTTCGCTGTATTGACTTGTAAAAACAGACTAATTATATTTTTACACGCCGAATATTGGTAAGACATGTTGATACTAACAAAACCTACTAATACCAAAAATATATTTCTGTATTGCAATATTGTCACACATGTTCTGGTAAATAAAAATATCTTTATGTAATTTTGTATTATTTACCTGATACAGCTGGCTGTTTTGACACAAATCGCGGTGACTCTTCTCCAGGTCAGAACTGATGTCATCCAGCGACATCTTGGCTAGTGGACCTTCATCTGTAGAGCAAGAAATTTTTATGAATTTTAATATTTAAGTTTCGAGTTTTTTAGTTACAAGTTTTTAGACTTTTAGTTAACTAAGAAGTTAGTTTTAGAGGTTAGAAGAAATGCCACAGCACGTAGTTATGGAAAGAGTGAATAGGCACTTACAGGGCAGATATGTACCATCCTAGACTGCATCCCACTTAACATCAGGTGCGTTTGTGGTCATGATACCTGCCTTGTTATGCATAAAAAAAAAACAGGAGCGTGGTAGACCAACAGGCGTGAATTCTCCAATCTTCAGCATCACTGCTGGTAGCTATGCAAATGCTGTATGGAGGCAGAAGAAAAGCCACAGTACTTGCTCATGGAATGCAGAAGTGAGGTAAATCAACAGGCCCAAATTCTCCAAGTTCCAGCATCACTGCCGGAAGCCTGTAGTGGCCTGGACAAGCTGTCGCGTGTTGGTTGGATAAGAAAGAAAACCAAAAATCCCGCACAATGACCCAAAAGAAGGCTAAGTGCGGATACAGCCCAGTCAAACTGAACATCCCATTCCTCTATAAAACAATTGACTTACTCTCCAGGTGCTGGTCCAGCTATAAGACGTCATCACTGTTCCTGTCCTATTTTCAAGCTGTCTTCTTCTGGTAACACGTTGGAAATCTTCCTGTCCCTCTATAAATACTGACTCACCAATATTGCAGCTCGTCCAGGGGTTCCAGTTAGCTTGGGGCGGGGACCACGAGACCACGCCCCCGGGCGTAGGCCGCGCCTCTCTCATCGCTCGCACGCGGTCCAGTTATAATATGGTCACCACCGTCTTCCCGTCTTGTTCAAGGCTGCTTTCCTTCAGCTAAATGTTGGACGTCTTATCCTATCCTTCTATAAAACAGTCGACTCACCAATGTTTTCCAGGCTTAGGTCCCGTCTTAACCAGCGCGCTTTATTTTATTTACACTATTTTCAGACAGCTTTCTGGCCCCGCTCTTACTGTCTTGCTCGAGACTTTTCAAAAAGCTCTTCTTCATCTAAGAGCTGGACGTTTTATCTCATTCTTCAATAAACAATTGACTTATCAATGTTATACGCAGTCCAGGTATCCGTCCAGCTATTAGATGGTCACAACTTCTTGGCCAAGGCAGCTCTCCTTCAGCTAAATATTGGGATGGGAGGGATATATCCCTAATTGACTTATAGATGTTACATGCAGTCAAGTCGTTGGTCCAGTTGTCTTCACTGTTTTCTCGTTTCGGTCCAGGCAGCTCTTCAGCTAAAAATTGGAAGTTTTTTATCCCTCTATTAATACGGACTCACCAATATTACAGCTCGTCCAGGGGTTCCAGTTGGCTTGGGGCGGGGACCACGAGACCACGCCCCCGGGCGTCGGCCGCGCCTCCCGCATCGCTCGCACGCGGTCCAGTTGTAATATGGTCACTACCGTCTTCCCGTCTTGACTAAGACGTTAGTTTGCACTATGTCAGGCAACCCCATGTGTGATAGACAGCCTATTGTGCGAAGGCTGTATGGAGGCAGAAGAAACGCCATAGCACATGCTTATGGAATGCAGGAGCGTGGTCGATCAAAAGGCCCAAACTCTTCAATTTCCAGCATCACTGCCGGAAGCCTGTAGTGGCCTGGACAAGCTGTCGCGTGTTGGTTGGATAAGAAAGAAAACCAAAAATCCCGTACAATGACCCAAAAGAAGGCTAAGTGCGGATACAGTCAAACTGAACATCCCATTCCTCTATAAAACAATTGACTTACTATCCAGGTGCTGGTCCAGCTATAAGATAGTCATCACTGTTATACCTGTACTATTTTCAGGCTGTCTTCTTCCGGTTACACGTTGGAAATCTTCCTGTCCCTCTATAAATACTGACTCACAAATATTGCAGCTCGTCCAGGGGTTCCAGTTGGCTTGGGGCGGGGACCACGAGACCACGCCCCCGGGCGTCGGCCGCGCCTCCCGCATCGCTCGCACGCGGTCCAGTTGCAATATGGTCACCACCGTCTTCCCGTCTTGTTCAAGGCTGCTTTCCTTCAGCTAAATGCAGGACGTCATATCCTATCCCTCTATAAAACAGTCGACTCACCAATGTTGCGCCCAGGCTTAGGTCCCATCTTGACCAGGACGCTAATTTGAACTATTTTCAGACAGCTTTCAGGCCCCACTCTGCCTATCTTGCTCAAGACTTCAAACAGCTCTTCCTCATCTAAGAGCTGGACGTTTTATCTCATTCTTCAATAAACAATTGACCTACCAATATTACACGCAATCCAGGAGTCTGTCCAGCTGTACGATAGACTTCACGATCTTTCCATTTTAGCCATAGCAGTTCTTCGTCAGCTAAATATTGGAGAAGCTATATCCCACCCCTTTATAAAACCTAATTAACTCATATATTATGTTACATGCAGTCAAGGCGTTGGTCCAGTTGTCTTCACTGTTTTCTCGTTTCGGTCAAGGCAGCTCTCCAGCTAAAAATTGGAAGTTTTTTATCCCTCTATTAATACGGACTCACCAATATTACAGCTCGTCCAGGGGTTCCAGTTGGCTTGGGGCGGGGACCACGAGACCACGCCCCCGGGCGTCGGCCGCGCCTCCCGCATCGCTCGCACGCGGTCCAGTTGTNCGCGAAAAAAAAAAGACGCCGACGCTCGATTTATTGTGGGCAAAAGAAGGAAAGCGCTGCCCGCTCGTTGCCCGCTCCCGCGCCGCTGTTTTCGAAAACCGGTCTATTTGATTTTACGCATAAGATCCTGCCGCTCCCGCGCCGCCGCCGCTCCCGCCCCGCTGCCCGCTAAACTCGAGGCTGAGGCCTAACTGTATGTCCGTATCTAGGGATGGAGCTGGCGATTACAAGAAGAACCGTTAAAGCTGTAGCTAACTATGAACCTACCAAAAATACATAAAAAAGTTTAACGTATTTCCGTTTTGATGAAAATACATAGGCCCCATAAGATAGATTAATGCCCGTTTTCACCATCAATCCCTAATTTTTAAGTGACCCCTATGGTAACACATAACAGGAATTTGTTTTCATAGGGGTGACTTAAAATTAGGAATTGATGGTGAAAACAGGCATAACACTTTTATATTAGGAAAAACTAATAAATGGAACCTAGGAAAAACCTCGTAAGTCACTCTTGACGTTTTTTCTCCAAACTATCACTTTAACGACTTTCTTTTAGGCGGACAAATCAGCAGACTTACCTCAATAACAGGACAGTTGCCAAAGTAAGAGGTAAAGAGCGTAGTGTTACAGAATAATAATAAGTACTACGTACAGAAGTTTTACTTTGCGAAGGTATTTAAAAAAATGTATGCTTAATGTCATTAACAATATGGTATAATTTAGCCTGTCTCAAGAGTCAAGCACCATTTTGTTGACAAACGTCAGTGATCGGTACTGCGCCGAAGCTATAGGGCTGACTTCGGTAAAATGATGTGACGTAAGGTGCCAAACTGCGGAAAATGGCGGAGGAAATACATGATTTAGCATGAATTATCATGAATAATATTAACTACTTATTTACCTCCCAGTGTCTAGAGGCAACTTAAAAAAGTACATTCTGTGTTTTTATTATTATTTAGGTAGTTAAATACTGCACAGTATTTAGTACACCATTTTCTTTATTTTTTTCCATCATACACAAGAATACGCGTGCGTGAGTCAATGTTCGCTCGTATGTGAGGCCTTGTCGAATAGTACTCTTGTAGGGGGCAATCGTGCGTGTTTTGTTTTCGATGTAAACTCGCGGAGATGAACAGGCCTGGTAAAACGAATAAATGGAACCTAAGAATAACCTCGTAAGTCATTTTTTATGTTTTTTTTTTAAACTTTCACTTTAACGACTTTCTTTTAAAGTCTGAAACGAACACTTACCTCAATAACAGGACAGTTGCCAAAGTACGAAGTGAACAGCGTAGTGTCGACTGTGGCGGACATGAGAATGATCCGGAGATCCGGGTACGTGTGTGCCATGTCTCTGAGTAGGATCAACGCGAAATCCGTATCGGCGTCTCGCTCGTGGACCTTTTATAGAAAAAAAATACACTTATGAGACTGAAGAGTCTACAGAAGTAAAATATAGGACAGGACATCGGACTATAATTTTTTGTAGCAAAATACAACCTAATACGACTACATAATATGTTTAGCTGGACGTGCTATTCATACGAACATTAAAAAATTACTGTAAGAGTGGTAAAACATTTTTTATTAAAAACCGTGAAAATTGTATTGGCCGAGTTTTGCTCGAAATCTCGAACAGACTTTGCTGTCGAAAAACAAAGAAAACTAACAACTTATAAAGCTTAGTTTAACTTACTTCATCGACAAGAACGTGACTGACGCCTCTCAAGCCACCCTCCAGTTTTCTCAGCAAAACACCGACAGTGCAGAACAATATCGAACCGTACGGCCTTGGCAATACGGACTCGAATCGCACCGAGTATCTGTGGACAAAACATTTTTAACAATCAAATAAAATACAGGATGAAGTTTAGTCTATTTTTATTAATCATTAACAGTAGGATATTTTTCAAATTAGAGAACTGAATTGTAATTGGGTGCACATATCACGAATAACAGATAGCCGATGGACCGGCAAGGTTTTGGTTTTGGATTAGAGATCCCCGCAAGCGCCGCGTAAGTAGAACCCACAAGGTAGACAAACGAAGTTATAAAGTTAACAGGAAAGCGCTGCATGAAGGCCGCTACCAACCGGCCAATCTAGGAATTATTGGGGATCCTAGTTCAGCAGTGGACGTCCAATGGCTGAAATGATGATAACGATGACTCACTTACCCCAAACTATTGCCCAGTTCGTTGGCCATTCGCTTGGCGACGCCTATGTTCAGGAGTGCACGTCCTGTAGCTGAAATGATGATGATGAAGCTTACCCAACACTTTTGCCTTGCTCCTCGCAGCATCTGGAAGCGTCATGTGGCTGAAATGATGCCGATGACTCACTTACCCCACACTGTTGCCCAGTTCGTTGGCCATTCGCTCGGCGACGCTTATGTCCAGCAGTGGACATCCTGTGGCTGAAATGATGATGATGATGAAGCTCACCCCACACTATTTCCCAGTTCATTACGTCTTCCGACCCGTAGTCACCATTTGAGAACTTTTCTGCTTCAACTTCCATCAGTTCTACGAGCTAAGCCCCGCCCACTGCCACTTAAGTTGGCAATTCTGCGGGCTGTGGAAGTTACTTCGGTTTTCCTGCGGATCTCACAACTAATCTAGACTCACCCCACACTATTCCCTAGCTCCTCGCAGCGCTCGGCGACGTCTATGTTCAGCAGTGGACGTCCTATGACTGTAATGATGACGATGACTCACTCACTCCACACTATTCCCTAGCTCCTCGCAGCGTTCGCTCGCCAACGCCTATATTCAGCAGTGGGCGTCCTATGACTGCAATGATGATGATGACTCACTTACCCCACACTGTTACCTATTCGCTCGGCGACACATATGTTCAGGAGTGCACGTCCTGTGGCTGAAATGAAAATGATGATGACTCACTCACCCCACACTATTCCCTAGCTCCTCGCAGCGCTCGTTAGCCACTCTCTCGGCGACGCTCATATCGGTCCACCCAGTGGAAAGTCTGCCAACATTACGTCTTCCGACCCGTAGCCACCATTTGACAACTTTTCTGCTTCAACTTCCATCAGTTCTACGAGCTAAGCCCCGCCCACTGCCACTAAACTTAAGTGGCAGTGGGCGGGGCTTAGCAATTCTGCGGGCTGTGCCGGCTACTTCGGTTTTCCTGCGGATCAACTAATCTAGACTCACCCCACACTATTCCCTAGCTCCTCGCAGCGCTCGTTGGCGACCCGCTCGGCGACGCTGACGGCGGATATTCGCCGCGGCTGCGTCACGAAGATGTTCGCCCACGCGCCCTGTCCGCTCGCCACGTAGTCGTCCAGTATGAATAGAGACTAGACTACAACGAACGTAAACGAACTAAAGTCACTGACCCGACGGATTCGCCTGCTAATGTGACAACTGATAGGGCAGCAAAGTTCTGGAATGCAAGTTATTTACGTGCTGGATGCAAGCTGCTACCAACTCATCATCATTGAGGGAAGCCTATGTTCATCAGTGGATGTCCTGTGGCTGAAATGATGATGATGAAGCCTACCCAACACTTATGCCTTGCTCCTTGCAGCATCTGGAAGCGTCCTGTGACTGTAATGATGATGATGATGACACACTCACCCCACACTATTGCCCAGTTCGTTGGCCATTCGCTCGGCGACGCTTATGTCCAGCAGTGGACATCCTGTGGCTGAAATGATTATGATGATGACTCACTCACCCCACACTATTCTTTAGCTCTCCGCAGCGCTCGGCGACGTCTATGTTCAGCAGTGGACGTCCTATGACTGTAATGATGATTATGACTCACTCGCCCCACACTGTTGCCCAGTTCGTTGGCCATTCGCTCGGTGACACATATGTTCAGGAGTGCACGTCCTGTAGCTGAAATGATGACGATGATGATGACTCACCCCACACTATTCCCTGTAGTTGCAATGATGATAATGATAATGAAGCTAACCCTACGCTATTGCCCAGTTCGTTGGCCATTCGCTCAGCGACGCCTATATTCAGGAGTGGACATCCTGTAGCTAAAATGATGATGATGACTCACTCACCCCACACTCTTCCCTAGCTCCTGTGGTTAAAATGATGATGATGATGATGATGAAGCTAACCCCACACTGTTGCCCAGTTCGTTGGTCATTCCGTCGGCGACGCCTATATTCATCAGTGGGCGTCCTGTAGCTAAAAAGGTGATGATGATGACTCAACTCACCCTACACTATTCCCTAGCTCCTCGCAGCGCTCGTTGGCGACCCGCTCGGCGACGCTCATATCGGTCCACTCAGTGGGAGGTCTGCCAACTTTACGTCTTCCGACCCGTAGTCACCATTTGAGAACTTTTCTGCTTCAACTAATCTAGACTCACCCCACACTATTCCCTAGCTCCTCGCAGCGCTCGGCGACGTCTATGTTCAGCAGTGGACGTCCTATGACTGTAATGATGACGATGACTCACTCACTCCACACTATTCCCTAGCTCCTCGCAGCGTTCGCTAGGCAACGCCTATATTCAGCAGTGGGCGTCCTATGACTGCAATGATGATGATGACTCACTTACCCCACACTGTTACCCATTCGCTCGGCGACACATAATGTTCAGGAGTGCACGTCCTGTGTCTGGAATGGTGATAATGATGATGATGATGATGATGATGATGACTCACCCCACACTATTCCCTAGCTCCTCGCAGCGTTCGCTAGGCAACGCCTATATTCAGCAGTGGGCGTCCTATGACTGCAATGATGATGATGACTCACTTACCCCACACTGTTACCCATTCGCTCGGCGACACATATGTTCAGGAGTGCACGTCCTGTGTCTGGAATGGTGATGATGATGATGATGATGATGACTCACCCCACACTATTCCCTAGCTCCTCGCAGCGCTCGTTGGCGACCCGCTCGGCGACGCTGACGGCGGATATTCGCCGCGGCTGCGTCACGAAGATGTTCGCCCACGCGCCTTGTCCGCTTGCTATGTAGTCGTCCAGGATGAATTGGCACACCTGGACAGTTTACAATAAGTTTTGGGTATTCATTCTTTGAGATTACTTTGAATAATGATATACTGTGTGAGTCTTGATAAAGTGCCAAGAAATTAGACCCATTTTGTCAAAGAAAAAAATGACAAAAAATATCAGAGACTCCTACCGTATTTCATAAGTTAGAAGAGGTGTGATATCACCTAAGTGAATTGATTCGACATAAATGGACGTCTTATTTACTACTTGAACAGTGTGATTCCTTTTATTCATTTTTTGTGGACCTTTTTCACTCATATAAATAATCAAATCACCTGGGTTAGAGATGATAGGAAGACACCAAAAATGGCACTTTTTACAGGTGAACATAGTGGAATAAACCACAAGGAGACGATGCTTCAAACCTTTATCCGGTGGTTGCAGAATTTTGTACTTTGGTAAGATAACATAAAGTTCAAAACTAATGAAAAATAAAGTAATTAACTGATATGACAACTATTTTCAGACTTGTCTTTTTACGGAACTTACCTGAGTAGTCTTGCCGCAGCCAGTGTTACCCCTGATGATGATGACCGGGTTCTCATTGATGGCGTCCATGATTTGAGACCGCATGCCGAATACTGGCAAGCTCTCTCTTTCACGTATACTATCCTATAACAACATTGCATGATTAGCTAAAGAATATCAGGTGAATTAGAACAATATACCATGTATTTAATTTGTATTTTTTCTAATTCAGTATCGATTATTGACTTCGCTGTATTGACTTGTAAAACAGACTAAATATAATTTTTACACGCCGAATATCGGTAAGACATGTTGATACTAACAAAACCTACTAACACCAAAAATATATTTAATTGTCACATATGTGTCTGGTAAATAAAGATATCTTAATTTTTATCTTTATGTAATTTTGTATTATTTACCTGATACAGCTGGCTGTTTTGACACAAATCGCGGTGACTCTTCTCCAGGTCAGAACTGATGTCATCCAGCGACATCTTGGCTAGTGGACCCTCATCTGTAGAGCAAGAAAATGTTATATGAATTTTAATATTTACGTTTCGAGTTTTTTAGTTACAAGTTTTTAGACTTTTAGTTAACTAACATGTTAGTTTTAGAGGTCAGAAGGAATGCTATAGCACGTGGTTATGGAAAGCAGGAGCGTGGTAAATCAACGGGCCATCACTGCCGGAAGCCTGCAGTGTTCTGGACAAGCTATTTGCGTTTTGGGGCGATCCGGGTTAGTTGGAGAAGGAAGAGAACCACAAATCATGCCACGCAACGGCCTAACAGAGGGCTACGTGCTGATAAAACCCAGTCAAACTAATAAATTGACCCCACTCCCCTATAAAGCAATCGAGTTACTAATGTTACAGTCAGTCCAGGTGCCAGTCCAGTCAAGTCGTTGGTCCAGTTGTCTTCACTGTCTTCTCGTTTCGGTCAAGGCAGCTCTTCAGGTAAACATTTGAAGTACGTTTTATCTCATTCTTCAATAAACAATTGACTTACCAATGTTACACGCAGTCCAGGTATCCGTCCAGCTATTAGATGGTCACAACTTCTTGGCCAAGGCAGCTCTCTTTCAGCTAAATATTGGGAGGGATATATCCCACCTCTTTATAAAACCTAATTGACTTACAAATATTACATGCAGTCAAGAAGTTGGTCCAGCTGTCAACACTGTCTTCCTTCTTGACCAAGACTCAGCTAAATGATGGATATTCTATACCTCTGACTCACCAATACTATATCCCGTCTGGCCACAGCAGGCATAGCTGTGAGATAATTACCATTGTCTTTTCGTCTTAACCTAGCTCTCTTTCAGTTAAATACTGACTCACCAATATTACAGCTCGTCCAGGGGTTCCAGTTGGCTTGGAGCGGGGACCACGAGACCACGCCCCCGGGCGTCGGCCGCGCCTCCCGCATCGCTCGCACGCGGTCCAGCTGTAATATGGTCACCACCGTCTTCCCGTCTTGACTAAGACGCTAGTTTGCACTATTGTCAGGCAACCCCATGTGTGATAGACAGCCTACTATGCAAAGGCTGTATAGAGGCAGAAGAAACGCCACAGCACGAGCTTATGGAATGCAGGAGCGTGGTCGATCAAAAGGCCCAGACTCTTCAATTTCCAGCATCAATGCTGGAAGCCTGTAGTGGCCTGGACAAGCTGTCGCGTGTTGGTTGGATAAGAAAGAAAACCAAAAATCCCGCACAATGACCCAAAAGAAGGCTAAGTGCGGACACAGCCCAGTCAAACTGAACATCCCATTCCTCTATAAAACAATTGACTTATTCTCCAGGTGTCGGTCCAGCTACAAGATAGTCATCACTCTTCCTGTCCTATTTTCAGGCTGTCTTCTTCTGGTTACACGTTGGAAATCTTCCTATCCCTCTTTAAATATAGACTCACCAATATTGCAGCTCGTCCAGGGGTTCCAGTTGGCTTGGGGCGGGGACCACGAGACCACGCCCCCCGGGCGTAGGCCGCGCCTCTCTCATCGCTCGCACGCGGTCCAGTTATAATATGGTCACCACCGTCTTCCCGTCTTGTTCAAGGCTGCTTTCCTTCAGCTAAATGTTGGACGTCTTATCCTATCCCTCTATAAAACAGTCGAATCACCAATGTTGCGCCCAGGCTTAGGTCCCGTCTTAACCAGGACGCTAATTTGTACTATTTTCAGACAGCTTTCAGGCCCCACTCTTCCTGTCTTGCTCAAGACTTCAAACAGCTCTTCTTCATCAAAGAGCTGGACGTTTTATCTCATTCTTCAATAAACAATTGACTTACCAATGATACACGTAATCCAGGTGTCGGTCCAACTGTAGAGTCTTCCCGGTGTTTCTATTTTGGCCAAGGCAGCTATCCTTCAGCTAAATATTGGGAGGGATATATCCAACCTCTTTATAAAACCTAATTGACTAACAGATGTTACATGCAGTCAAGTCGTAGGTCCAGTTGTCTTCACTGTTTTCTCGTTTCGGTCAAGGCAGCTCTTCAGCTAAAAATTGGAAGTTTTTTATCCCTCTATTAATACGGACTCACCAATATTACAGCTCGTCCAGGGGTTCCAGTTGGCTTGGGGCGGAGACCACGAGACCACGCCCCCGGGCGTCGGCCGCGCCTCCCGCATCGCTCGCACGCGGTCCAGTTGCAATATGGTCACCACCGTCTTCCCGTCTTGTTCAAGGCTGCTTTCCTTCAGCTAAATGTTGGACGTCTTATCCTATCCCTCTATAAAACAGTCGACTCACCAATGTTGTGCCCAGGCTTAGGTCTCGTCTTAACCAGGACGCTAATTTGCACTATTTTCAGACAGCTTTCAGGCCCCACTTTTCCTGTCTTGCTCAAGACTTTTCAAACAGCTCTTCTTCATCTAAGAGCTGGACGTTTTATCTCATTCTTCAATAAACACTTGACTTACCAATGTTACACGCAGTCCAGGTGTCGGTCCAACTGTAGAGTCTTCCCGGTGTTTCTACTTTGGCCAAGGCAGCTCTCCTTCAGCTGAATATTGGAAGGGGCTATATCCCATCCCTCTTTAAAACCTAATTGACTTACAGAGTTACTGAGTTACTTGTAGTCAAGTCGTTGATCCAGCTGTCACCACTGTCTTCCGTCTTGAACTAGGCTCAGCTAAATAATGGACCATTCTATACCTCTATATCCACCAGACCTTGGTCTAACTGTGAGATAGTTACCACTGCCTTTTCGTCTTAACCTAGCTCTCCTTAAGTTAAATACTGACTCACCAATGTTACAGCTCGTCCAGGGGTTCCAGTTGGCTTGGGGCGGGGACCACGAGACCACGCCCCCGGGCGTCGGCCGCGCCTCCCGCATCGCTCGCACGCGGTCCAGTTGTAATATGGTCACCACCGTCTTCCCGTCTTGGCCTTCAGATTGTTGGACGTTGGCGTTGTTCACATCTACTGGCTCGATTTCCAACTCTGAAACAAAAGGGAAACACATTTTTGAATCTAAAGCCTGGTCCGTGAGCTCGTAGAATCCCGTCCAATGACCCCAAGCTACCCATCCCTATCGCTCGCGCGTAATTATGTTGCTGTCGCGACTGTGCGACGGGCGCCCGCAGTGAGTGTGCGAGCGCGACAGCAACATTCATTCATCATTTCAGCGATAGTAGGCCGTCCATTGCTGAACATAGGCCTCCCCCAATGATTTCCACAATGGCCGGTTGGAAGCGGCCTGCATTCAGCGCCTTCCTGCTACATTTTTGAGGTCGTCAGTCCGTCATCCTGCGCTTTCCGGTATGTGGCCTCCACTCCAGAACCTTGCTGCCCCATCGGTCGTCAGTTCTACGTACTATGTGCCCTGCTAAATCCATTACTGTACTTCAATTTTTGTTTTGAGAATAAATTGTTTTACACACTAACCTCGTAAGGTGTCTTCAAGTTTCGCTTCAAGTTCTGGACTGATCGCCACTGGGTATGGTTTCATCAGACCTTCTCCGCTCCTGAAATTGTGATCAAATGTTAAAATAGACCAATGATAAGGCACTTGTGTTAGTGATGGCGCTTATTTCCTAATTTAACAGAAAAACACTGCAGACAGCAATCCAATGCATACCAGTGAACAACTCCTGTCTGTGCTATCGCATATTTTGCTGCCTTACTTATTATCTAGGTACATAATTTTTTCTCTTTCCTTCTCGTATCCTCGCAGCTTCGAAGTCGTTCGTTTACGGATGATAGCGTAGAAGTCATCCACACGCGCTTCCGCGAACAATGCGAACATAGATGAAGCACTGCAGAACCTTGATAGCCCCATCAGAATCCTGAAGGCATTGTTGTACTGGACCCTGAGAGCGTTACCTATAACGCTAAAGACTTATCTTTTGCAACAGACGGCGTGAAGTCACACCACAGGCTGCAGGTGTCAAATGTTTGACAGAATGCCTTATAGACAAGGTTATTATTTCAACAATTACCTGTCTTTCTTCAAAGTGCCGCTAAAAGCTTCGATAACTCCAAGATGGTAATGCTGCCTAACCAACGACAAGGCACAAACTCCAGCGCTTATCAGTGAACTCCTTTGTGATATAGCATTTGCTGCTTTACCAATGTCTATAGATTGTTTCATCCACGAAGACGCGCCCCACGAATTTTTGGTCGAGGGAAGCGCGGGGTGCGGGGAGTTAGATCCGAGCAATCCGAGCGGCATTATTGTAGTGTGCGTGTGCACTCATGGATGATTTAGCGTGTATATTCAAACATTAGCGGAAGAATGGTGGGGCGGTCTTCGTGGATGAAACGATCTATACACAAGGTTATTCTTTCAACAATTACCTGTCTTTCTTCAAAGTGCCGCTGAAAGCTTCGATAACTCCAAGATGGTACAGCTGCCTAACCAACGACAAAGCACAAGATCCAGCGCTTATCAGTGAACTCTTTTGTGCTATAGCATTTGCTGCTTTACCAATGTCTTACGATTGTTTCATCCATGAAGACGCGCCCCACGAATTTTTGGTCGAGGGAAGCGCGGGGTGCGGGGAGTTAGATCCGAGCAATCCGAGCGGCATTATTGTAGTGTGCGTGTGCACTCATGGATGATTTAGCGTGTATATTCAAACATTAGCGGAAGAATGGTGGGGCGGTCTTCGTGGATGAAACGATCTATACACAAGGTTATTCTTTCAACAATTACCTGTCTTTCTTCAAAGTGCCGCTGAAAGCTTCGATAACCCCAAGATGGTAATGCTGCCTAACCAACGAAAAGGCACAAAATCCAGCGCTTATCAGTGAACTCTTTTGTGCTATAGCATTTGCTGCTTTACCAATGTCTTAGATCGTTTCATCCACGAAGACGCGCCCCACGAATTTTTGGTCGAGGGAAGCGCGGGGTGCGGGGAGTTAGATCCGAGCAATCCGAGCGGCATTATTGTAGTGTGCGTGTGCACTCATGGATGATTTAGCGTGTATATTCAAACATTAGCGGAAGAATGGTGGGGCGGTCTTCGTGGATGAAACGATCTATACACAAGGTTATTCTTTCAACAATTACCTGTCTTTCTTCAAAGTGCCGCTGAAAGCTTCGATAACCCCAAGATGGTAATGCTGCCTAACCAACGAAAAGGCACAAAATCCAGCGCTTATCAGTGAACTCTTTTGTGCTATAGCATTTGCTGCTTTACCAATGTCTTAGATCGTTTCATCCACGAAGATGCGCCCCACGAATTTTTGGTCGAGGGAAGCGCGGGGTGCGGGGAGTTAGATCCGAGCAATCCGAGCGGCATTATTGTAGTGTGCGTGTGCACTCATGGATGATTTAGCGTGTATACTCAAACATTAGCGAAAGAATAGAGGGGCGCTTTTCGTGGATGAAACGATCTATACACAAGGTTATTCTTTCAACAATTACCTGTCTTTCTTCAGAGTGCCGCTAAAAGCTTCGATAACTCCAAGATGGTACAGCTGCCTAACCAACGACAAAGCACAAGATCCAGCGCTTATCAGTGAACTCTTTTGTGCTATAGCATTTGCTGCTTTACCAATGTCTTACGATTGTTTCATCCATGAAGACGCGCCCCACGAATTTTTGGTCGAGAGAAGCGCGGGGTGCGGGGAGTTAGATCCGAGCAATCCGAGCGGCATTATTGTAGTGTGCGTGTGCACTCATGGATGAATTAGCGTGTATACTCAAACATTAGCGGAAGAATGGTGGGGCGCTCTTCGTGGATGAAACGATCTATATGTCACCGTAAAATTGTGGATTCCGTCAGATTATAATCTGACGTAGTTAAATTACAATCTAACCTAACCTAACCCACTGTTAGTTAACAATCTAACGCGTTATATTATAAACTGACAGAGTTCACAATTTCACGTTGACATATACACAAGGTTGTTCTTTCAACAATTACCTGTCTTTCTTCAAAGTCCCGCTGAAAGCTTCGATAACCCCAAGATGGTATAGCTGTCTAACCAACGACAAAGCACAAGACTTGCTAGCGGTCTGCTTGTTCGAAGCCGTCTCGCGCCCTGTCACGTTGCGCCCGAGTTGGCGGACGTATATGGTCATCTCACAGCAGAAACTTCTGTAGGCATAGAATAATAATAAGTACTACGTACAGAAGTTTTACTTCGCGAAGGTATTTACTCAATACTCAATACTTTTATTGCATAACCACATTAGCATTCACATTTATAGGTCTTACAATTTAGGCAGTTATACAATGTGGACCCAGTTAGGGCACAGCAACTTTAGGAAGGAGACAGAACGACGATCTTACTAGTCAAAAGAAATTAATGTAAAAATTGAGTTTGGTGGAAATGTCATTATTAAACGTTTCGATAATTATAAAATAAAGTTAGAATTAATGAATTATTAAAAATGGAAAAATATTGTTAAAATGTCATGCTAATTATTGTCAAGTGTTGAAATGTCATGTTAAATATCAAGTGGTAAGCAGTTAGGTCCTACTAATTTATTATTCAGGTCAACATTAATAAATAATAACCTAAAAATCCTTAAATGTCAAGAAATTTTCAAAATAAATATAAATAAATATGTGTATAAATTAAATAATGTCAAAAATGTAAAATCATGTCAAAAATGTAAAATCATGTCAAAAATGTAAAATCATGTCAAAAATGTAAAATCAATACTCAATACTCAATACTTTTATTGCATAACCACATTAGCATTCACATTTATAGGTCTTACAATTTAGGCAGTTATACAATGTGGACCCAGTTAGGGCACAGCAACTTTAGGAAGGAGACAGAACGACGATCTTACTAGTCAAAAGAAATTAATGTACAAATTGAGTTTGGTGGAAATGTCATTATTAAACGTTTCGATAATTATAAAATAAAGTTAGAATTAATGAATTATTAAAAATGGAAAAATATTGTTAAAATGTCATGCTAATTATTGTCAAGTGTTGAAATGTCATGTTAAATATCAAGTGGTAAGCAGTTAGGTCCTACTAATTTATTATTCAGGTCAACATTAATAAATAATAACCTAAAAATCCTTAAATGTCAAGAAATTTTCAAAATAAATATAAATAAATATGTGTATAAATTAAATAATGTCAAAAATGTAAAATCATGTCAAAAATGTAAAATCATGTCAAAAATGTAAAATCATGTCAAAAATGTAAAAACATGTCAAAATGTTAAATCATGTCAAAAACTTATCGTCTAAAAATTCTTTCAAATTAATTTAAATTAATTTAAAAAAATGTATGCTCAATGTCATTAACAATATGGT